CCCCCCCCCCGGGCTTTGCAAAATGCAGGCTTCTGCTTCGTTCAGCCGTTTCTCCAACCGGGCTGCCTGCTGCTGGTGGAATCAGATGCAAATTTCGCTCGGCTCTGCCTCGTTTTCTCCTCCGCCTCCGTTACCGGAGTGGGCTACCCACCGGTTTCCCCTCCACGAGCTGGCCTTCCCCCACCAAACCGGACAATCTCTCCGCTTCTACGTTCGGCGCCGTTAGCACAGCCCAGGGCGCTTAAATAAATTCAAAGGACAAAATTTGCAGGGCGGGATTTGCTGGGGGAAAGGGGGTGGGGTTGCCTGGTTTTCCCAGCCCACCCACTTCTCATGGACACTTAACCCGCCCGCCCCTGAAGATAGAGGTTGTTCCTCTCCCCATATTCCTCCGGTGGGGGGGGGGGGGGGGAGGGGGGGGGGTAAACCTTAGGTGAGGATCAGTTCTGGCGCCCCCCCGTGTGCCCACCAGGGCACCCGGAGAAGAGGCTGACCAGTGGGGCACACACAAGCCGTCGCTCCCTGGGCCCTGCTGCTGCAGCTGCCAGTCCCCAGGAGGAGGAGGAGGAGGAGGAGAAGCACTCAGCTGGGAAGCCAAGGGGGCAGGCAGGGAGAAGCTAGCCAGCCAAAGAGGCGGGGGCGGGGGTCACCTGGCCGTGGAAATGCAGGGCTTTTGGCGGGGGGGGGGCTTTTGGCGAGGGGGCAGGTGCAGTTTGGCACCCCTAAGGGCCGGCGCGCTCTAGGCAAACGCCTAGTGAGCGAGCCGGCCCTGCCCGTTATGCTTTCCCCTAGTAGTCCAATGCAGTCCAATGCAGAGAGACTTCAGTCTGGTAGAGAGCATTTCAGGTTGACTAAAATCTCCCCTCACTGGCCATTAATACCTATCTGGTTGCATTTGCTGCCAACCCTGAGTGGCTACTGCAGAGAAGCCATTAAAAAATAAATCAGCCTGTTCTTGCAAAATTGCAGCCATCACACCACCTGTTTTTATATGAACCTACCTACCTGACTGGCACAGTAACCTTAGGAGCCCTTCTTTGGGTGCCCTCCATGTGATGCTAGAAAGACAGCAACCAGATAAAGGGCCTTCTTGGTCATGGAACCAAATTATAGAACTCCGTCCCCATCTGCCCCCCCTCTATCACTGTCTTCCACCAGCTGGTGAAGATTTATGTTTCCTCTGGTAGTTCACTCATTAACTCTCCTTCCTGTGTGTTTTGTTTAATTGTTGTTTTTAATTGTATTTATAGTATGTATTTTAAAAGCTTTTAAAATGTTTTTGATTGTTCATCGCCTTGGGGACTCTAAACTGAGTGGAAAGGCAGCATAAAATATTTTCAGTAATTAAAAAATAACCTTGTATTTATTTACTTATAGCCCACCTTTCTTGTTCAGATTCAAAGCAGATTACCAAATTTTAAAAATGCAATAAAGAAAAAACAGTATAAGAGCCCTCATAAACCATAAAACGGCTGGGTTACAAAAATTAGAAGAACAATTTAGGACCAATACAAAAACCAGTACAATCAAATACAATAATTTTCATTTAATAAAAATGCCCCCCTGAACCATTCCACTGAGCACTTTTGTTGATCTGAGGCAATCCTAGGGAACTGCTATATGTCCTGTACCGGATTTGAACCCATGTCTCTGCAATCTTAAATCCTCTAATCACCAATCTGGTGTAGCAGTTAGAGTATCAAAGTAGGATCTTTGAAACCCAGTTTTGAATCCCTGCTCTGCCATGGAAGCTGGCTGGATGACCTTGGGCCAGTCACACAAGCCTGTTCACATTACAGTGAACGCACACTTATCCTGCCTGTACATACATAATCTGTTTGTAAGAAAGGACCAACAAGCATTCAGTTTACAATGAAGCCAGGGATCGGAACCTGGATAAATGTGGGGTTTATATCACACGTTCAGCTGTTTGGTATAGTGGTTAAGAGTGGCGGACTCTAATCTGGAGAACTGGGTTCAATTCCCCATTCCTCCACATGCGACCTTGGGTCCGTCACAGTTCTCTCAGAGCTGTTCTGTCAAGAGCAGTTCTTTCAGAGCTCTCCCAGCCCCACCTACCTCACAGAGTGTGTTGTGGGAAGAGGAACGGAAGGAAACTGTAAGCCACTCTGAGACTCCGAGTGAAGGGCAGGGTATAAATTATCTTCTTCCTTCTCTTCTTCTTCGACTGTCCTATGAGTATTACTCAACACACATGCAAAGAAAGTGTACACTTTACATCCTGTTTACGTTATAGTAAACGCATGTTCAGCTTGCATGTACTTGTGTATGCCTGTCTATAAGAAAGCGCCAACAAGCATTCACTTTGCACAGGGCTTTTTTTGTAGAAAAAGCCCAGCAGGGAGTCATTAGCATAATAGGCCACACCTAATAGCAGAAACTCATTAGCATATTAGGCCACACACCCCAACAGCACAGCTCATTAGCATATTAGGCCACACCACATGCCTTCCCTTGGCTTGCCTGGGTGCCCCGTGGCTGCGGGGAGACCGGGCAAGCTGGCCCTTGGACAGGACGGGGAAGGCACAGGAAAGCATTTAAATGCCTCCCCGATCCTTCCAGGGCCCCCCTGCCTCGGAGTCGCCGGGGGGGTACTCTCCAGGCCTTCCTTCTGTAGCCACGCATGCAGAGGTTTTGGCTGTAGTGGGCATGGTCAACTCTGAAGCCAGCCAGAACGCCGTTCCTGTGTGTTCCTGTCCCAAAATAGCCCTGACTTTACAAATGGCTAAATGTGAGACTTCAACTGCATGCTTAGCTGTACATGTATTGGATGTAACGTGAGAATTACTCAACACATGTATAAAGAAAAATCAAGTGTCTACTATACACAGACTGTACATAAGTTCATTGTAACTTCTGAACAGGACTACAGTCTCATCTTAACCTACTTCACAGGGTTGTTGTGAGGATAAAACAGAGGACAGGGGAACAATGTAAACAGTTTTCAGTCCCCATCAGTGCCTGGGAAGGGAGGAGTTTGGGGATGAAAGAGTGCTCAACATGGATACACCCTCCAAAGCAGCCGTTTTCTTCAGAGGAACTGATCTCTGCAGTTGTAATTCCAGGAGAACTCTAGGCTCCACCTGAAGGTTGGTAACCCTGCCTCCAGTCCCCTTAGTTATGGAAGTGATTCTGCGAAAGCTCCAAGGGACTCTCCAAGGTGCCATAGGAAGGCTCTGCATTCTACTTTGCGAATGTAGGCCCACTGCTTGCCTAAGGCTTTGAGACCCACTGTCCCTGAAGAGGGGGAGCAGAGGGCCCTCAAGATGGACGGGCTCTTCCAATTTAAAAGTATTTATTTGGTTTTTAAACAGCTGTTTCAAAAAGAGCCCTTTCTAACCAGATTATAAATTGCCACTAAAGGGTCAGCTCTGCTGGAAGTGAGAGAGCTGCCAAGTCAGTCCCTAGAGTGCCTTTTGAAGGACTTAGAAGGGCTCAGTGAACTTTGCCCTGTCCAGCATAGGAGGAGGAGGAGAGAGTGTCTAAATGAAGCAAGAGCACCCAGCTGTGTAAAAACAAAGGTCAGACTTCAATTGTGGTTCTTCAGCAGACTGGGAAAATGGGCAGGGGAATGGGAGACTAATTATTATGCCTGAAATACATCTATGGAGGAACAGATGGATAACTATCTCCTGGTTACCACCTTGAGGTCTGAATCTGCTAATCCGTTTTTTGTATATATTTATAGCCTGCTTTCCTCCCTGATGGGGACACAAAGTGGTTTACAACACTGTTCTCTCCTCTGTTTCAGCCCCCAACAACAATCCTGTGAGGTAGAGTAGGCCGAGTGACGGGCTTAATGACACTCATCAAACTTCCATGGCAGAGTCTTGCAGATCCTAGTGTGACATTCTATCCACTGCAAAAGCAAACATGTGCTAAATTATTGCCAGAACTTCCAGCCCATTTATCGCATTCATTGGAACAGGACTGTAATGTAGATATTGCCACATTGATATGATTATTGCAGGTATCATCTGCTTTTTACTGCATTATCCTATCCCTTGTACTCCTCTTTCTGTATTATTTATAGTATACCTTTGTCTCAGATAGTTTGTTGTTTGCGTTGTCCTCTAATTCTGTAGTCATAAGAACATAAGAACTAGTCCTACTGCATTGTTCACTGGGTGTCTTATGCTGTTTGCACTGTTTTTACATTGCAATCCACCTTGACTCTCAGTGAGAAGGGCAGACCATAAACAAAATAAACTCATTTTGATGTTAATAGTTAAGCCTCTTCATTCACACACAGAAAGCAAGGCCTATTATGCAAGGTAAAAATGAAGGTGTGCCCGCTTGCATGTGGTAAGGTAAATAAATAAATATTTAAAAGAAAAAAAGGGGAGGGGCTGTTTCTTCATCTAGTCCAGCTTCCTATTTCACCTGGTAGGCCACCAGCTGCTCTGCAGGGCAAACAAACAGGGCATAGAGGCTGAGGCTTTCCCCTGAGGTTGCCTTCTAGCGCTGGGGTACAGAGGTTCATTGCTTCTGGATGTGGAACAGTTAGACTCAAGCCCAGTGACCCTTTAGAGGACAACACAATTTTTTTTGGGGGGGGATGATGTGGAGATTCCCTGTAGTCCTCTTGTCTAGTAGCCATGCATGCAGTCATCTATGCCAAAGCCAGAGGAAGCTCAAAGTGCATTAGGCTCCTGCTCAAGGCGAAGGGCAAGCCAACCCCTGCTAACCCCAAGTATGTGCTGGCTTAAGTACAGTTTGGTATCATTCACCAGAGAGGCCTTCAATGGCTGGAGCTGCCAAACAGGATAAGAAAGAATATAAGAACATAAGAGAAGCCAATGTTGGATCAGGCCAATGGCCCATCCAGTCCAACACTCTGTCACACAGTGGCCAAAAATACCAGGTGCCATCAGGAGGTCCAGCAGTGGGGCCAAGACACTAGAAGCCCTCCCACTGTTGACCCCCCCCAAGGACCAAGAATACAGTGCATCACTTGCCCCAGACCAAGAGTTCCTATCTATACCTTGTAGCTAACAGCCACTGATGGACCTCTGTTCCATATGTTTATCCAATTCCCTCTTGAAGCCATCCATGCTTGTAGTCGCCACCACCTCCTGTGGCAGTGAATTTCATGTGTTAACCACTCTTTGGGTGAAGAAGTACTTCCTTTTATTTGTTCTAACCTGACTGCTCAGCAATTTCATTGAGTGCCCATGAGTTCTTGTATTGTGAGAAAGGG